ATCAGAAACTTTTTTAATTTGCTTCTAATGGGTCAGCCAGTTTTCATTATTAGAAATCATTTTTTGTTCCGGAACGCGTTCCTGTCCAAAATGGAAGTACCGTAAAGATGTTCCGGAACGTTCTGGCTTGACAACGCTACTGCTCATTTTACTAATCTAATTTTTTTCCTGTTTACTATTATAATAAACACAAAAGCCTAAAATCCTATATTTCCATTGTAACCCTCAATGTTAACATCCACATCTCTCCATTAATTATCCATTAAATATTATAATAATTTTTCCGAAATCACAATAATAACATCTACTATATCATAGTATTTGCAACGTTTACAATAATGTTTGATAGATCTTTGGTATCAACTGTGAATTTGCGGTTCTGTATAAATTGATAGAAACGGCTATTCAGACAATTATTGATCTTAACCAAATACCGATTTGGACCAATTCAACGTACGTATGTATCCGGCAACGATCTGGTAATCTGCAAATTAGAATTTCCAATAATCGATGTATAATATATAGTTGAAATTGTTGGTACGTATACATGGATATAGAGAGAGGTGATCTAGAGTAAGTAAAAGCACACATGACTGGTTCCTAAATAGCAAATTGTTCATTTGTGAAGTTTCATAAATACGCAGATTTGTGTTGATCTAAAACTTGAATGTATATAAATATCGTATTTCAGAAAATAATTATTGATTCGGATGTTAGCCTAAAGATAATTTGTATTTACCACTATATTGCTCATTTAACAGCAAGGCTGAACTTTTAAGTCACCACTTTAAATCGCTCAAAATTTTATTAACTTCCCGAAGGAGAAGTTTATGTTTTCATCAAAAAATCCGATTCGCTAATTTTATATTTTCTCGGCGTTTCAAGCCATTCTGAATCAAATGAGATCAAATTTGGAAGAAGTGTGTGTGTGTGAACAGATTTTTTTGCCGTAAATCGATTTTGAATGCTACTACCACTAAACAAATATTAAAACGCAGCGAATTTTTAATGAACATAAATAAATTTTGTGTTCTAGGAGATAATTATTTATGATTATCACAATACAATTTAATTGTAATAAAAGCTTGCATGTGGGTGGGCTAAATGGACCAACTGGCAAAGGTGTAAATAAGAAAATATGGTAAATAAACCAAAAATTAAAAAAAGCAATTTTACAAGAGATAAGTTAAATAAATACTTAATCCAACTATGCTGATGAAAATTTCTGACGAACTACTAGATCAAGGTTGTATACAGTGTTATATCTGTGAAAAATGTACCCATGAAATTTATATTTTGCATTGGTTAAATAATGTAGCTATTACTTCGTAAAATTTCTTCAAAATTAAAAATAAGATATTGTATCTGTTGGCTATCTCTTTTTACCCAGCCTATAGGGTAAAAAGAACTAGGTGTCAATTTTGTAAAAAACAGGAAAAAAAAATTCTACAATCGTGAATTATCTGTGAGTTTTACTGAACATAGTCAAATAGTTGTTTGATATGTGTTATTTGTTGTGACATAATTTGTTTGGCTTTTACATTGTAATTGCTTGCAATGTAAAGTCAAATTGGATCTTTGTGCCCCGCGCTACCCTACACTAATGTGCTGAATAATTGAATACTTCTAATTTATGGCTGTTTTAACTAACAAAATTTGTAGTCATTTGTTTCAAAATCATTAAAAATTATAATGACGTCAGTTTCAAATGTATTATTCTCTTCACGATATGGTAGTGATTTTATGAATTTAGTGGCAATTTAAAATTTATTGCTCACTTAATTTAACCAGTGAACTGTGACGATCTCATTTAACTGTGTGCACAAAAAAATGTTGTTTCAAAGTAAAGTTCCACTTATAACTATTTATTTTATATCGGAATTGCCTCAAAATTTTCAAATCATCCTAAATTTGAGAATTTGTTTTACTTTTCTGTTTCAAAATATGCAATCTGCAATAGTTAAAGATTCCTATGCATATCTAGTATAATAATAAACAAAATTCTGGCACTTTTTCATGACGTGTACACTCGTCTCAGTCAATTATTGCTAATATTTTACTGTATACCTTACGTTTGTTTGTGCTAAAAAACGATTATTTTCAAATAAAACTGAACCTTTTGCAAATGAATACGCTGTTCTTGGTTTCAATTTTTAAATACGAGAAGTGTAATAATGAAAAAAAATGAAAATCATCTATTCTTAAAAATCCGTCGACCGGACATTGTCTTGAAAAAGCGCTGGTTTTTGTATTTATGAATTTGGTGATTAATACCAAAAAGCAAAGCAATAGATTATGAGATTACATTAAAGTCAAATACTCTATTTTCTGTTTTCGAAATTTGAGAATCCCTGAATCGGCTATGTGCACAACGTAGCGCGGATGGTTATCGGTTAACGGCGGGAGTTGGATCGTCACAAATCGAGTTAGTTAATTGACAAGAGACTTGATGCTGCCTAGCTCTGACTTTGTTTGGGGGTGCCAAAGCCGACTACATTTTAGGGAAACATCGATAATAAAAGTCGCAACATCGATTGCAAAGTTGTCTCTAATAAATGCAAAAAAATGATCACTGATAATTACACAAAATCAGCCAAAATTGTTGGAACTATTGATTTCAGTGAGCAGTTAGTATGCTATTATATATAATTGTAAATATTTATACAAAAACCGACATTTTAGAAAACTGGTTGTCCAACAGTACTTTTTTTCAAAAAAATAGTCTTGACCGGTTTCGAATTTTTATGAAAAACTATTTGCTCAAATAATTCGAACAAAAAATTTTAACAGTAAATACCAAATATATAAAAGAAGTTTTTGACTGAAATTATTAATTCAATTTTATTGATAATAAATTTTTTATGCAATTTAGTAGAACAAAATATAATAAATGACCAGGATTAAATAACTTTAAAAACAATTAATTATTTGTTGTTTTGTCAGAGCGTACATTATTTTTAGAATAGCGAAACGAAGGAAGTTTATCGATTTCTAACAATGTTTGCAACAATCCGGTGCATTTGGCTACAATTGTCATTTTCAAATTTTTGTCAAGAGTTAAACTCCAATTGGAAATCGGTATTTAGTGGTAGACAATCGATTTTCAAATTCCATAATTTTCTCCTAAAAACCGGTTTTGAAAAACGAGCAACCCCGAGCTGTAAGCTCTTTATGATGATTTCATTACAATTTGACCAGTACACCAAAAACTTGGTTACACGTTATAAGAATAATGAAGTTATTTATTATAATTTTATTAATGTAATAGTTATGTTATAGATATACCTGGACTTTTTTACACAGGGGGTAAATTGGGACGACTAGGAGCAAACAGGGGATACAAAATAATAGCTACATTATTCGACCAATGCAAAATAAAAATTTCATGGGTGCATTTTTTACAGATTTAACACTGTAAATAACTTTGAACTGATATTTCGGCAGAAATACTTATCAGCGGATTTGGAATTATATAATAACTATTCATTTAATTTATTATTGTAAAATTGCGTTTTTAACTGCATTTACTTTTTATTTGCTCTATTTTATTTTGTACATCTTTGTCAGGGTAAAGGTTCAGCTGGTCTTTTTTACCCCACCCAAGTGTAAGCTTTTACAGAGGTTATTTGAAATAAAAACTGTTAAATCTTAAAAATAACAATGCATTTTATAAAACAATTAAGTAATGTATACTTAAAAATGATATTACGGTCTCGTAAAAAAGCAACAGATCTCAAAACAAATAACAAAAGAAAATACTTTTGTTATGGATTTTAAAATATTGCGGATTATCTCAAGATATCAACGTCGCAAGAATCAAGATGATAGCAGGGTATTTGTACATCTTTTTCTCTCTACTTTCAAATATTGTTGTTAAATATTCTTAACTTTATTGGTTTTCGAGATATCGGTGGTGCTCCGCTCTACCCTATATTTTGTCATAAATAATAAATTTTAATTATTAATAAATAAACTAAAATCAATAAATTAAATTGAATAGTACAAGTATTAAGTTTCTAATATCAAATTATACTCGTAAATCACATCAAATATCATATCAAGAGAATTCCTGCCTCATATTTTTAAGAGTAGACAGCTTTTATGGCAAAACTTTTTTATTCCAATTTTCCACTTGCCTCGTCTACGAACAAGAATCCGCAATAAGAGTCGCAGTCGTATTTGGTCAAAAATCAGTCGGCGCTGTTTACCTAAACATAGTTTGCGAATGAATTAGAGTTCGGCCAAGTGGAAATAGCAAGAAGTAAATAACCAAAGAAAGCACAAAGGAAAAGAGCCTCAGTTTTATTCTCTTCAGCAATGCTGCATAGACACTGCATATAAGCTGCTCATAAAAGGCATTTTACTACCAGAAGAGAGAATTGTAGAGATAACCGTTTGATAATCGTGCATTATTCATACCGAGCAATCCGAGTAATGGACATGGAGGAATCTCTCAGAAGCATTCAACGTTTCAGCGAGTGGAGTGATTTTATAAAGTTGTTTTGAAGTAAAAATATATTTACATATGCTATCCTAAAAACGGTCCCTATAAAATGTATTGCCGTAACGCTTTAGGGTAAAAATCTTATGCTGATTTTTGTAAGGCAACTTGTGATATTACTAAAGAAGTCAAAATAATTTTACTCTTTTTATTGAAAATCATAAACTATATATAACTATAGTCTCGGATACATTTTTAAATAAAATGTATTCAACTGAAATAATAACTCATAGCTTTATATATAATTTTGAACGGTTATCAATCTTTTTTAATTTTGTCACTTCGAGCGTAATTTAATATTTTTTAGGACAACACAAATGCCTTCTTCGGTATGATATACTTGTGTTGACTTTAACAAAATTCAAACTATATGGGCATGCATTCAAGTCAGTCAAAGTCAAAGTTTTATTGACGAATATATAATGAATAGTAATAAATCTATATAAAACGCTATACAAATGTGTGTTTATGATAGAAATTGATAACAAAAAACACTCACCAGTAAGGTCTGGCAATCGTGGATAAAACATGCCGGTTCGCGCCAGCCAGTCTAATTGCATGTGCTGCAGGTATTGTTGTCCAAAATGCTGCGGCGTTCTTAATGCCTGAACGGCATGATGATCCTTGTTCCCTACCGGACCATTTCCTACCGACGGCGGACCTTCACCCAAAGGATGGTGAAAAGCCGACGCGGCCCCTGCCGTTAATAACTGCTGATGGTGCGGATGCGGATAAGCGTACATAGCCGGTTGAAATACAGCCGCCGCGGTAGGTACCCCTTGCATTCTTGCGTCTATGAGACCGGGCTTTGGAACAAACCGCGGATTTCGGTAGCAGCTGGGATCGGAATCTTCACATCCTGGAGATATCGGAGGACTGTAACTTCTATTTGTAGAGGGTGGACTGTCGGAACTATCTTCCTCGTGACTAATAACTGACCGTGGTGGATCCGGCGCTCCATCTTCAGCGGTCGAATCGCTTGCCAAGAGCGCTTCTATGCAAAAAGACTTTTTTTGGGGAGGCGATGAGGAAGATGACAAGTTTAATAAGGTGTTTTGATGCTGTTGTTGGCTGAGTTGCGGATGATGGTTGTGATGACTTATGGTTTCATCGCCACTTCTTGGAGAATCTTTTGTGTAACATATCGGGGTAGCAGACATTATGATTATTTTGTTATGCAACCTAATTTATATGACACTAGTTATCACTTGCACAAAACACCAAAACCTATTAAGTGTTGTTAATAGTTTTTATAAAACCAAAGTATGCATTGTCACTATAACGTATTTCTACAGTCCTTAAACATATTTATAAATTAATTTAATACTCCAAAACATTCAAGACCGAAAAGTAAAACATCCTGTGACCTAAAGAAGTTTTGCACATTCACTCATGTTTAAGTTTATACTTTCATCAAAATACCGATTGCAATAAAATGATAGTTCCGGTAAATTTTATTCCTATTTCCATATGCACGTGAGCAATCCCATCAATTCTCCTCTGACAATAACACAGATGCTATGTAGCGCAGTCACAAGTCAGCGCGCGACTGTCGGCTCGCGCTCCTCGCTGTCGGCACGTCGACCGGACTCGAAAGCGTTACCCTCGCGGCGGCGTAGCCCCCTACCCGGGAGTGTGAAGTCAGGCGGCGTCCCGGGACGATCGACGAGCTACGCTGACGATCTGGGCGGAGTAACTCCTACACTTAAACCGGTAGCCGAAACCGTAATCATAACGTGGTGGGCGTGACGTATACGCTTCATTACCCGCATACAAGTACCCATTTGAGCTAACAGACACGAATCGGACACTGAATTAACGTAACGTAATCGTCCGACAGTTGGATCTATGCAATACCCGATATGACAATGAAATCTATAAGAGTTTGTCCAAAAAGCAAAACGAGTGTTAGTACGTATGAATTTACATTTTTGTGGAAATACTTACACTTCTATAGCTTTGAGTCAAGATATGTCCCGAGATGGTTCAATACATCAAGATCCGAATACTCTTATAATCAGAAAACAAATTAAAACTAGTGGGGTGTGTGGCATCGTGCCTTAAGGCAAATTGCTGGAACTCCCCGTACCGTAACAAAATGTTTGAGGAATATTGAATGTTTTCAAATACATTATTATAAATATTGTAACATTGTCTAATATTTATAAGAATTATATAAACTGAACTGCAAAGTTGAAATTATTTGTTTAAAGTATATTAGAACTTTAGTCAGAATTGAAAATAAAATCTGAATTATTTTCGATATACAAAAAAAAATTATATTTGAAAAAAAAAATTGAAACAAAAAATTTTTTTTCTTAAATTATTTTTTTTGTTAAAACAAGCAGAAAGTTCTTTGAATCATTCAAATCGGTCGCTTCGTTATCTCAAAAACTGCCATTTTTTCACATTTAGCTCAGTAACTCCAAAACCGCTGGACCTGCCTTTGCCAAAAACTAATCACCCCTTCTCCCAATCATTACTAATTGAATGTTTTTTAGATCATTCAAATCGGATGCTCCGTTCTCTCAAAAACTCAATTTCTATTTTCTGCACTCTTTGCTCCGTATCTCCGAAACGGATGGAGCTGCCTTTGCCAAAAACTAATCAGCACATCTTCCGATCAATAGGAATCGAATGTTTTTTGAACCATTCAAATCGGTTGATCCGTGCGCCCGAAAACGTGGACGAAATATTGTATCCATACATACATACACAAACACACACACACATCCATTTTTTCTGAGGTATGCCAAAATGTTCAGAAACCTTCAAAACGTCGAGAAATGTAAAAATTTCAATTTCGATTTTTGGACGATTACAATAACTTACCCTACAGGTGCCCGCATTTACAAATGCAAAGTCGACCAACACCAAAATGAACTAATAGCGAGTCATAACACCACTTATGCTAAAAGACCTAAGAGTCCGATTTAATAGAATTGATACAATATTTGACAATATACTATATCTTTTTAGTTTATGTTTCACTAAACTGCAAATGTTATGTGTGTATACATGTAGTGTATAAGTGTTTATAATTTAATATGCATATTATAGTTTTCTTTTCTTTCTTGGTAACAACAAAACAAACATCAGATGTAGAGTACACATATAAACGGTAAATCACTGGGGTTTCCTTTTGAAAAGCTACTGTTAATTATCAATCTAATTTATATGCAAATAAAAACACTTTCATAGACTTATAATTGAAAATATTTATTGTTAGGACAACATTGAGATTCAGTCACAGATTATTGGCGCTATAATTTTATCATTGTGAAATGAAACTTTTCTTTTGAATTAAGTTTTTTTAACTTCCCGTAGGGCAAGTTATAGTAATCGCAAAAAAATCGAAAATGAAAATTTTTACGTTTCAAAACCTTCTGAACATTTTAACATACCTTAGAAAAAATGGATGTATGTGTGTGTGTATGTGTATGTATGTGTGTGTGCGTGTATGTGTGTGTGTTCGGATTAGAGGTTGGTCGTTGACGGTTTTGCCGTCAACGAAACGAAACGGTTATCGGGGTTTCGTCAACTAGTTAAATAACTAGTTATTTTTCAACTATAGTTATTTTTAACGATTCAACGCTGGCAACGTTAAGAAACTGATAGTTGAAATAACTGTTTCATTGAAAGTTGCTAATATGAAGTTTGTTCTTATAAAAGTCAAGTTGACGTTGGATTTGATGAATAAAAAGAAATAAATGTGAAATGTCACATTACACACACACACACACATGTATATATATATATATATATATATCACATTTATTATTAATAATACTAAGGTTTAATTTAAAAAACTTAAATATTTTCATTACAGCACAGCCATATACTAAAACATCGAATTTACATGTTATATAAAAAAGCAATATAAAAATATATAGTTATATAAAAATGTTCTGAAAAAAAAAAATCAATTTTCAGGTTTAGTTTAAAAAAATTATTACAAGATAAGTGCTATGAGAATTTCGTGAAAAAATATTAACCATTGAAAACTAAAATAAATGTAACTGATTTTCTAAAATTAAACGATTTGCCGCATGTTGCAAGTCTCTTTTACATCTCAGTACATCTGCAATATTATAAAAGCAGTAGCCTAACAATAAGCGATTTTCATAGTATTAGTTGATCCTTTCTGACGTCAGACCTAAGTTTTAGGTACCTGCTTACGTTCGTTTTCGACAACGAACGAATTTCTATATCGTAGAATAACTAACTGGCCGCCATGTTTTCAACTACTTTGAAACCAGTTGATTTTCAACTAGTTATTTCGTTGCGACGAAACGGTTAGTTAGTTAACGAAGGAGAAACGGTTGAAAATAACCGTTCGTTGATTCAACGCTCATCACTAGTTCGGATACAAATTTTCGTTGACGATTTCGGGAACACGGATCAACCGATTTGAATAATTCAAAAACCATTCGATTTGTATTGATAAGGAGACGTGCTGATTAGTTTTTGGCAAAGACAGGTCTAGCCGTTCCGAAGATAGGGGCAAAAAGTGCCGAAAACGGTAACTCAGTTTTTAGGAGAACGGAGCGTCCGATTTTAATAATTCAAAAAACATTTTACTTGTATTGACAAGATGAAGAATTGATCAAATGTTCATGAGGGCAGGTCTAGCGGTTTCGGAATCTAACGATCTAACGATAAAAATAAAAAAAAAATGCTTTTTGGAGGTCAAAAATGATCATTAGACATATGCACATCAAATTATCAGATATTTTATAGAGATTTTAACAATAAGTATAAATTTTGTTTACATTCCTATGGGTTCCGTACCAATGTTTATCCATTAGACAGCAATGTGGCGCTTACGCGCTTTATATTTTGTCCCTATGCAGTTAAAGCAGTACGATTGCTTTGAAAAAAAGTTCAGATTTTCCAAAATATGTCAAAATAAAAAAAACATTTTTTTTCAAAAAAAGTAATTTTTTGTCCGATTTATAGTTTCTCAAAAATCTAATTTTTTCGAAGTAAATTTTTTTCAAAAATGTTATTCGTTTTTAAAAAAATAATAATTTTTGATACGGAAAGTTTCAGCAACTTGCCTTAAGTTTTAGTTTACCATATAGTTTTACCATATAATTTACACTGTTCTTAATAGAAATCTAGTGAATGTAAACCTATAAATGTAATATATGATAAATAAATGACAATAGTAGAAGTAGCCAGTATTACTTCTACTTCAAATATCGTAAAAGTATAAAATAGTATTTCCAAAATAAGTACCAATAAGCTCTTTCATTAGATAAAAGTGTGATGATGTAGTCGAATGAGATTCAGCTCTGTGGCCATCGCAGTAATTTGCACCTAGTCCGACCCGATGCGGCGACGGCATCGGCATCGGCAGCGGCAGCGGCAGCCGTTCTACGCGTTCGTGATTACAATCGAATGACGGGCATAACGAACGCGGATGAGTTGGTGGCAGCGAACAGCGATGCCGGATCCGTTTAGATCGCTCGTTATAACGTACGACGCGGCATCCTCTACGTACGCAAAGCCGAGTACATTTCGTATCCGCAAGCGGGAAGTATTAGCGTATTAGCGGCCCCTTAATGCAAGCCGTGTTAACGCTTGACCTGCGAAGCTCGTCGGATCGTTATAGTCCGATGCCGGCGCGATGCTGGAATTTCTATCCCCACGCGAGCGCATGGCATTGGTCCGCTCGGAACCATGGAGCCGCGTAACCACGCCTTCTCGAAACAACCCCCGACTCATACCCCAAAGCACCCCAACCGGAATCCGCTACTGATAGGTGCCGTTCTGTCGTCCGTGTCGAGCACTTTGTATGTGTTTCGCTGTGATCCGATCCTCTGTGACATCGAGCCCGCGAACAATGACGGTTGTCAATGCGCGAAGCCGTTATCTCGGATCGCAGATCGCGGATCGCTGATCGTTTCGTTACCGATCGGTGTTTTCTTAAGTCGCGCGACCTTCCACTTGTGAATCGAACGAGAAGATTCGTTTACCATCGCTTCCGGCCGTTTCATTGCTTCCGGAACGCGAAGTAGATACTCGATGTTTCAATAAAATATTTGATTGCCAAATAAGGTAACATCAAATAACAAACAGATTCAGTGCTACGCCAATGCCGTATTATATACTCGCTTAATGACTTCCCGTAGGGCAAGTTATAGTAATCGCAAAA